CGCTGGCCAATGGGAGCGCGGGACGCGCCCCCCGCCCCGCCCCCGGGCGCTCCGGTGCCGCCGCCGCGCGCCCCCGGGACCGGCTCCGGCTGCGGCGGCGGCGGCGGGACCCGGCCCGGCCCCCGGGCACCGGCCACGGCAGGTACCGCGCACACCGAGGGGGGAGAACCGGGCCGGGGGCAGCCGGGCCGGAGCCCACCGGGGAGCCCCTCCCCGGGCAGCGGGAGCCCCGGGCGCGGCGGGTTCGGGGGCGGCGGGGACGCGCAGCTGCGGCTCCGTTACAGCGGAGCGGAGCCGTCCCGGGGCCGCGGGGCAGCGGCAGCGCCCGGCGCGCGGGGGGCACCGCGGGGCACGGGCACGGCCCGGGCTCGGGGTCCGCACAACCCCCGGGGGTGCGGAGGGGGCGGCGGCGGGGCTGCGGCGGGGGCAGGACACGGTCCCGTGGGCAGGACGCGGGCGCGTCCCCGACGGGCAGGACATGTCCCCGTGGGCACGACGCGTCCCCCCCCCCGTGGGCAGGACGCGGGCGCGTCCCCCATGAGCGCGACGCGTCCCCCCCACCGTGGGCAGGACACGCACCTGTAGGCACGGCGTGTCCCCCCCCCGGCAGGACGCGTCCCCCACGGGCAGGACAGGTCCCCGGTGGGTGGGACACGTCCCCATGGGCAGGACCTGTCTCCCCCCAACAGGACACGTCCCCCCCGTGGGCAGGGCATGTCCCTACAGGCAGGACGTGTCCCCACGGGCGGGACGTGTCCCTGGGAAGCATCCCCTGGTGCCTGGCGGGACGAGGACGCCGTTCCCGGCTCCCCGTGGCCCCCCGCACCCACGCAGCCCCCCATCCCCTGTCCCGCAGGTCGCCCCCGCGCCGCTGAGCCATGCGGGATCGCCCGGCCCCCTCCCCGCCAGAGCCATGAGCGGCTGCCGGTACAATGGGGGGGTGACACGGCCCCGGGGCCCCCTGAGCGCCTCCGCCCGCTCCCTGCACCCGCTCGAGGGGGAGACCCAGCCCCTGCGGCCCTGCCCGTCCCCCGGCCTCGAGGTGGTGGTGTCGCGGCCGGAGCAGCCCGGGGGTCCCGAGCCCGGTCCGGCGGCGGCCCCGGGACAGGATGCGGCCGAGGAGCGGGGAGGGGAACCCCGGAGGAACCAGAACATCGGGTACAAGCTGGGCCACCGGCGAGCCCTCTTCGAGAAGCGGAAGCGCCTCAGCGATTACGCCCTGATCTTCGGGATGTTCGGCATCGTGGTCATGGTCACGGAGACGGAGCTGTCCTGGGGGGTCTACACCAAGGTTGGGGGGGGCGGTGGGAGGCGGGTGTGGGTCCCTCCGGGGGTGCGTCCGGGCTCACCCTGCCCCGCTCCCCTGGCAGGAGTCGTCGTATTCGTTTGCACTGAAATGCCTTATCAGCCTCTCGACCCTCATCCTCCTGGGGCTCATCGTCATGTACCACGCCAGGGAGATCCAGGTGAGGGGCACCCGCCCGTGGGGGTCACCCGGGGGGGGGTCCTGCCGCCCCGGGGGTCCCACCGGCGCCCTCTGTGCCCCCGCAGCTGTTCATGGTGGACAACGGCGCTGACGACTGGCGCATCGCCATGACCTACGAGCGCATCTTCTTCATCGCGCTGGAGCTCATCGTGTGCGCCATCCACCCCATCCCCGGGCAGTACCTGTTTACCTGGACCGCCCGCCTGGCCTTCACCTACGCCGCCTCCGTGGCCGACGCCGACGTGGACATCATCCTGTCCATCCCCATGTTCCTGCGGCTCTACCTGATCGGGCGCGTGATGCTCCTGCACAGCAAACTCTTCACCGACGCCTCGTCCCGCAGCATCGGGGCCCTCAACAAGATCAACTTCAACACCCGCTTCGTCATGAAGACCCTCATGACCATCTGCCCCGGCACCGTCCTGCTGGTGTTCAGCATCTCCTCCTGGATCATCGCCGCCTGGACCGTCCGCGTCTGCGAGAGGTGCGGGGGGGGCTCCCCGGGGGGGCTCGGGGGGGGGGGGAGTGCTGGGCTGGGGGGCAGCTGAGGACACACGGTGCAGACCCCGAGGGGGAGTCGGGGCAAAGGAGAGACCCCTTTTGGAGAAGAGCCCCCCCGGCTGCCTGGGCTGACCCCCCTTGGCGGGACCCCCGTGGCGGCCACGATGGTTTTTCCAAACCGAACTCGCTTGCCAAGGCGAGGTGGGGGTGGCCGGACCCCCAGGGTGTCCCCAAACCTCTCCCAAGCTCTTCTGTGCCTCCCTGGGGTGGGGCAGGACCCGCTCTCTGCTGCCCAGGTGGAGCTGGGGGTTGCTCAGAGGGGACCAAGGACCTGGGCTCTCACAGAGGGGACCGAGGATCCGGGGGTCTCACAGAGGGGTCCCAGGAGATGGGGGTCCCGCGGAGGGGACCCGGCTCGGGGTGTGCCCGCGCTCCTCAGCTGCTCCCGCGGGGCGGGGCCGGAATGCCCGCGCCGGTGCCCTCCCCGTGCCCGCCCCTTCTGGGCCGGGTCCCCCCCCGGGCCGCGCATTAACTGCTCTTGTTTTCCCTCCCCGACGCTCTGCTGCTTGCAGGGACAAACTGTGAGTGACCCCAGGGACCCCCAGCGCGTCCTGCACGGGGCGGCCCCGCCCCAGGCTTCTGCTTCCCAGAATTTAGGATTAGCTGCAGCCAGAGCCGGGGGTGGGGGGGCAGGGCTGGGGGGTCGGGGGGGCAAAGGGGCCGTGGACACGGAAAGGGGCTGGAGCCCTTTTCCACTTGGAACCTCAGCAGCTGCTTCCTGTCCCCCCTGTGCCCCCCAGCTGGGGGGGCCGTGGTGCCCAGCCTGGCTGTGGGCACGAAATGGGGGTCCTGTGGGGGGGGGGGGGCGGGGCACAGCTCCTTCGGGGCGGGCTCTGGGGGGGCTCTTGGGGGGGGGGGGTGCTGCAGGGATTGCTGCGGGTTCTGGGGTGATCCTGGAAGGGGAAACCCCAGCAAGAAGCTGGGAAGGAGCCACTGGATCCTTATTGCTTTGAACGGGAGGCTTTGGATGAGCCTCCGAAGGGTTTTCCTTGGCTCTGGACATCGTTCCTTGGTGTTTCCCCTCCTTAACCTGCATGTTTTGAGTGCCTGGAGGGAGTCCTGGGTGCTCCTTGGGAGTGGGGAGATCTGCAGATCCTGGGGATCATCACTGTGGGGTGACATCCCGGGCTGCCAACCCCACCCAGGGTGTGGGGTGCCCCCAGCACCTCCCTGCCCTGGGATGGGGGGTGCCCCCAGCACCATCCTGTCCCATGGTGTCCCCCCCATCTCCCTGCCGTGCCCCTCAGTGCCAGATGAGGTTCCAAGCCCCCCGGGGGGGCCAGGTGGGGGGACGCAGCAATCCTAAATTCCTCACCGCACGCTTGAGCCCCACCCCCACCCCACCCCCGGCTTGCTCCCATCTCCCCCCTTCCCTCCCCTCACCCCCAGCACCCCATTTTCCCAGCTCCCCACTGCTCCCAGCATGTCCCAGCCCTGCTGCCCAGCTTGGCCGCTGCTCCGTGTCCCCCCGGCCGGGCTCGTCCCCCCCGTCACGGGGGTCCCTCGGGGAGGGGTGGGGGGCACGGCCGGCCGTGTCCGTGGCACCGGCTCTGGCCACGGAATCTCAAAGCACAGCGTCCCCCGCCGCCCACCCGGGGTCACCCACGCTGGTCTCGGGCCCCTTTCGGAGCTGGGGTGGCCCCCCCAGGAGCTCGGGGTGCCCCCAGTTCATCCAGGTCTCTGCAGGGACGGGGTGTCCCCTCCCCGGGGGTCTGCGGTGACACCCCTGTCCTGTGCTTTGAGATCTCTGGGAGGGCTCCAGGGGGACCGGGGGGGCTGCTCCGAGCCTGTCCCCTTGCTGTCCTCATCCAGCAGCACCCCCCCGACCCAGCCCCACTCCTGGGGGGGCACAGCCCACTCGGGGCATCCCTCCACCCCGGCACCCGTGTCTGGAGCCGTGCCCGATGTCCCCGGGGCGTCCCTGGGGTGCCCCCAACTTCTCTGGGGCTCCCAGCAGCACATCTGGGATCCTGGGGGGACTCTCGTGTGCCGGGAACACGCCCCAAACCCCTCGTGGCAGGGCGGCGGAGGGGCGAGGGCGGTGCCCGCGGTGCCACGGCGGTGACAGCGGCTGCGCTCGGCCCCGGGCAGGTACCACGACAAGCAGGAGGTGACCAGCAACTTCCTGGGGGCGATGTGGCTGATCTCCATCACCTTCCTGTCCATCGGCTACGGGGACATGGTGCCGCACACCTACTGCGGGAAGGGCGTGTGCCTGCTCACCGGCATCATGGTGAGCGCCGCGGTGGGGAGGGGGGACACACACACACACACACACACGGCCCCTGTGCCCCCCCAGACCCCTCCCCTGCCCTCACCCCGGGGGTCCCTGCCCGCAGGGCGCCGGCTGCACCGCGCTGGTCGTGGCCGTGGTGGCCAGGAAGCTGGAGCTCACCAAAGCGGAGAAACACGTCCACAACTTCATGATGGACACGCAGCTCACGAAGCGGGTGAGACCCCCCGGCCCACCCCAGGCCCGTCCCCCCCTCCCCGAGCGGCAGGACCGGCCCTCCCCCGGCCCCACCCACCCCTCATCCCTGGGCATCCGGTGGCTTCCAGGTGAAAAATGCTGCTGCCAACGTACTCAGGGAAACGTGGCTCATCTACAAACACACCAAGCTGGTGAAGAAGATCGACCATGCCAAAGTTCGGAAACACCAGCGTAAGTTCCTCCAAGCCATCCATCAGTAAGTGCCAAACCTTTACCTGCTTCCTACCAGGAATGGTGTCCCATCCCAGAGGTTTTTCTTTTTCCCAGGAGGAGAGCTGGGTGCTTCCTCCCCTTCTGCACCTGCCTGGAGCTCTGGGTTGGGAGCCAGGAGGTCCCTGTCCTTGTCCCCTGCCCCCATCCCCAATTTCCTGTCCCCCATCTCCACTGTCCCCCTCCCCTGTCACTGTCCCTTTTCCTTGTCTTCTGTCCCTTTTCCTTGTCCCTTGTCCTTGTTCTCCATCTACTGTCCCCATCCCCACTTCCTCCCCATCCCCTGTGTCCCCCATCCCTGTCCCCCTCTCCCCTTCCCATCCCCTATGTCCTGTCCTTGTCCCCCATCCCTGGTGTCCCCTGTCCCTGTCCCCTGTTCCCCCCCCCAAACTATGGGATGCTCTCCCAGCCTGTGGGGACCCCGATGCTCCAGGGGTGACCCCAGGGGT